GGTGGCGACGTGTGCCGTGTGCAACAGGCTGCTTCCAGCCCGGCCCGGTCTCCAGCCGTCCGGTGACTCTGGCTGTAGCGTAAGGTTTAGTTGTGTGCGACACGGCAGGTCCCGTCTCATTCATTGGGTGGTACGGAAGCGTCTTTCAGAAACGCTTTACACTTGAATGTTTTAAAGGATTCTTAAGGCTGTGTGCATGTCATTTTAATTAGCATAGCCAGGAGTTCTGCAGTCACAAATAGTGCGTCCTCGTACTGTCAAAGTGTGAGGCTTTATAAATGATCAGAAGATCTTGCGGTCACTGCAGAATTCTGAAGTATGGCAGATGTAATAATTCTTACCATTAGAGTCAGTGATTTGCACAAGTATTTGGCCTGGGCTTTGTGGTCTGGTTATTTGTGTATGTGAAAAAGGAAACTGATAACAAAAGCTGTGTGGAAAGACCTATGCTCTTAAATAAACAGATAGGCTTTAGTTAGCACAGTGTGTATTGAAGTCCTTATTTCTGGCTTCAATTTTTAGAACAATGCTAAAAATATCACACTGAGAACAGTCTGTTTTATTTCCTTACAGTGCCTCTGAAGAGCTTGCAGAATTTTCCTATCTCGTGCATAGTGGATACTGGTTTTGCACAGGGCTTTGCATTCCTAGTGCCAGCCTCGTTAAAAGCCAGGTTAAAAGCAAGATTCGGTTTTACTATTAGAAACATGCTTAGGAAAGTGGTCACACTGAAAATCAGAAACATTATGGAAGAAAACCACCAATCATGCAACTTAGTATTTCTAAAATATTTTTATACCACATTTTCCATTTGTAGGCACCATTACCAGAACAAGAAGGACCATCTGCTGGTACAGTGGGAACGTTTGAACTGATGAGCTCTAAAGACTTAGCACACCAGATGACAGTTTATGACTGGGAGCTCTTCAACTGTGTGCATGAGGTATGAGGATCTATCTATTCAGCCAATTAGAATCTGTTAGAAAATGCTGTTAGAAAATGCTTAGTTGTACATTGCAGGCTTGCGCATTATTTGCAAAACTTTCTCTAAGCTTGATTTTCAAAAATACTACAATAAAGGCACCTACAAGTTTTGAAAGTATAAGGCATTCTTAATTTTGTAGGCAAAATGCAAAAATGAAGTTGAACTTCTCCTGAACATGTCTGCTTATTGAATTACTTTTTGTATGTTTTAAGGTATTAACCTATTTATACATAGTCTGTAGTTATGGTTTTAGTATGCCTCAGCTATTGTCTACTGGATTTGCAGCCTGAATCCTTCTCATCTGCACAGCAATAAAGGTAAACTGCAGAGCAAGTTTCAGGCTACATACTGACCTGCTCATTCTTAGCCTCTTTCCTCTGTCCAAAAGATGAGAGTTCTAAAAAAATAATCCCAAACTGTTTTCTTTTTCCTAGCTGGAATTAATCTATCACACTTTTGGAAGGCACAATTTTAAAAAGACCACAGCAAATCTGGACTTGTTTTTAAGAAGATTTAATGAAATTCAGTTCTGGGTCGCAACTGAGATTTGTCTTTGCTCTCAACTCAGCAAGCGTGTTCAGCTGTTAAAGAAGTATATTAAGATAGCAGCCCAGTAAGTATACAGTCATCTGTGAGCTGGCAATGGGGTTGAACGTAGTCAATTTGTTGTTATTTTGCTTTTTTATTTTCATACAGCCACACACAGTAGAGGTTAAAATGTTCTGTATTTGGTAATTCTGTGCATTTCCTTATAGGGCGGTATAGAACCTTGTTAATATATATTCTTCTTTCCTGTCCTACTCTCCATTGCTCCTTGATCCGTGATCTCTTAGGGCCATGTTTTCACATAAAATTTGTGAGTAAATATATTTCAGTTCATTAGGAGGATCCTTCCTTTACCCTTTCATGTATTAGCAAATATTAATATGCAAATTAGTAAATACTAACAAAACAGCCTTAATTTTGCTGAGAACAGTATTTCTAATGCTGTTCAGGAAAACTGTTCTCAGAATTGCTCTGAGTGGGAAAACCGAGAGAGGAGAGCAAAGAGATGTAGGACGGAGATGACAAGGCTCCTGTTACCTTCAGTCTGCTTGGTACATTTTTCTAATACTTCTGTTTGAAAACACAACAATATGATTCTCCTTTTTTGTCACCAGCTGCTGGGTCTGAGGGTGCATAGTAGGCAGTTCTTGCTGTCTTCTATTCTTTTATTCATATTAAAACTTAAATTCTTCGGAGCCTTCATGTCAAAGATGTTGGCCTTGACTCCTTATAGCTGGAGTCAAGGGCAGGGGTGTGACTGACTTCAGAGGGAGCAGGGGCATGCCCCTGCTCTGCGTAGCTACGGGTTTTTATCGCTGTTGCCCTCTTCCTTCCTTCCTTCCTTCCCAGTTCGTGGTGTATTTATTACGCTCACCACCGTCTGAACAAACAGTTTGCTGAGGTGTGCAGTGGGGAGCTGCCTGTCGCTGTGTTTGTCTGTGCCTCTGGGCATTGTGGCTGGAGGCCTGCAGGCAGTCTTACCGAACAAAAGAGTTATTACTTGCGGTTAAACCATGGGGTTTAACTTTTTTGCATCGCTAAATGTAGTAGTGTGAAGGAAGATATTGCTATTACAGCTGTGGTGCCCCTCTCCTCCCAGTTAATAATTCCACATAGCTGAAATCGGTGTTCACATCGGAACGCTGCATCAGCGTGCCTCCCTCCTCCGGGAACCGCCGTGCTCCGCCACGACCGGCTTCCTTCTGGGAACGGCTCCGGGCCCTCCGCTCCAACCGGATTGCGGCTGCTCGCAGGATCAGGTTTCTATTCAGAACGGAGGACACAATTTACCTCTTTAGTTTCTAAAAATACATGCAGCGGCTGTTGCACCATGGCAGTCAGCAGAACGAAGCTGGGAAGCTGTGTCCAGGAGAGGGCAGTGGCACCCGCGCCCGACCGCCTCGCCGGATTCCAAACTCGGGGGCATGAAACGGGAAAATGCTGAAATTAAACATGGTAAATTAAGATACGAGAGTCATTTTCATTAACGCTTGAAATCAGGTATCCCAAAAATTACAGTTAAATGTCTCCTTAATAAACTGCCCCGGCCCATGGGTTCCTCAGTGTCATGGGTTTAATCCTATGCTATTTACAACAGCTTGACAACCTCCTGTTTACTTCCATGTTTCTGGCATCACTACAATGCTAAAAATAAATAGCTAGAAGCGGTCTGCTCTGCTGAGTCCTCTTTGTCTCCTGAAAGCAGAGAAATCTGAAGCACAAGATTTTCCTCCGTACAAACAGAGTGGGCAGGTTTAATTGCAGCCGCTGGAAAGACGCTGGGAAGTTTTGCCAGGCTGCTGCCCTCTGTGCAGTGCTGCCATGGTAACAGGTGCTACAGCGTGCGGTAAAACAAACACAGAGTGCACCGAAGTTAGAGGGGAGAAAAAGCCAAGGAATTGGATCAAAAGATGTGGGCCCAGGCCTTGAAGCAGTATCTCTGAGGAAGTTTTGCTTGTGAAGATCCTTGAGACCTAATGAGAACTTTACCCTACCTACAAGTACTAGACTCATTAGAAATGTGTTCAGGGAGAACAGCTCAGTGCTGCACTATTAATCTTAGCCATGACTGGTGGTAACGAGATGCCTTGCACATACCGATTTTCAAAGATTACTGTTACTGAGAACCCTATTTCCATTCTGTGGCCGGGGGCTCAGACACCGTCGCTGAAGGTGCCCCGTTCTGCACCTGCAACCCCACGCACCCGGCAATGTGCGCTGCCTGTTGGTGTGGGCAAGCGCAAGGCCACGTGCTGGCTCCAAGGGCTGTGCACATGTGCTTTCAGTTCCAGGAGCTGCTGTTGCCTTTGCATCTGCTGGGAAAGGACGTAGAGGTATACCAGGTTCATATCTTTTCTCCAGCCACTGTAGGATTAAACTTCTAAACAAAAGGGAGAAGTGAACTATATTTCCTACAGTGAGTTCTTCCCATGTTAATTGTATTAGAAAGTACTTGCACGTACTCTTATGGGTATCCACACACCCAGTTTGTATGCATTACCTCTTTGCAAGTATAACCACAGGCTATATAGAAGCCTTCTTGTGTATCACTATACTCAGACACTTTCATTCAGTTTTTGAAAATCATTCTTTCCATGCACACACGTATGTTATAAGTCCAAGGAGCCTGTAAGAGATTTTTGAAGGGTGTGTATTTACAGGGAAAATGCCAAGGTGAATATGCTCGTGTAAGTACCGAGAGATTTTAACCACATGTGTGTTTGTGTTGGAAACAAGAATGTGTGCATATGTGTGTGTTCACAATTCATACTAACAGGAAGATTTTTTCAGTACAGTCTGTTCTGGGAGGCAGAGGGACCTCTGCTCTGAGCACACTGTGGCGCTTTGGAGGATCCACTTTCTGAGATTTTTCAGGCAGCATATGTGCAGTGGAGCCATGGAGCACTGTTTCTCCTTCCTTACAATGGTCCTCTATCTGGAACTGAACTGTATAGTGTAGAGCCTGTAGAATTTATAGAATATTTTTTGTAGGATGTCATACATCTAGATGGATTTTAACAGGGACTTTGTCAAATTACATTACTTAACAGGGTATTTGGCAAAACTTTTCCTTTTTAAAATGAAAGGTAGATTCAAGTTACATATTGCAGATACATTTGCAGCTGCCTACTATGTTTGAACACTACTGCTGTGTGGTACTAATTATTTTTACCGTGCCACAGGCTGTGGCCAGATACCCATTTCTGGATTTAGTTGTGCCTGGGGAAGAGGTTATCACTGACAGCCTATCCTGACTGCTTTTCCTCCTTATCTCCCCTCAGATCCACTAACGAGGTACTCCCTGATCTGCTCTAGTTGGAATAAGTTGGGGTAGCTTTAGCATTTCAGTTTATCTTTGCTAACCTTGCTCACTGTCCCTAATCTGATGTGGGAGAACTTGTATGAGCAGCTCTGCCAGAAGATCTGAGGGGGCAGCAGTTTCCAACAGACAGACCAGCAGATGGGACAGATTGTTTTTCACGCCCTCAGTGTTCACACAGTGCAGGCACAAGTGAGGCCCAGATCTAAAGGACTCTCCCACTCAATACATCGAGGCTGGTGAAATGAAGGGACAGAAAGAACAGAATAACAATAGGGTACTGTGGCAATTATGGAGTCAGACAGTAGGATGTGATGATTGTACTAATTTTGTCTGGAGCTGAGGGTATCTCAAAGGAGCTAAGAGCTTCAGCAGTGAATTAAAAAAGCTATCTGAGAATCATAGCTTGAATCTTGCAAAAATTTTCTTGGTAAACAGCAAAAGAAGCAGAGACTGAGGTGCTGAAATCAGGTGTTGGCTAATCAGTTGTGCAAAATAGCAAATTATTTGCAGGAACCTAGTGAGACACAGACTGATGAGATATAAGCTTTGTTCTCTCTCTTCCCTTCCCATCGAGTCAATGAGCCACCTGATGCAGTCCCAGCTGAGCAGCAGTGGGCTGTTCCTGTCAGATTGTGTCTACTCCTGCATATGGTGTATTATGGATCTTCCATAATACTCAGTTACATGTCCCAGTTTTTCCTGATTGATAACAGAAGTTCTCCTTTGCATTAGGGATGAAGCGTGACCTAGAGCTCCTAGTGCCCAGGACCTCTTTAATGATACTGGTAACAAATGGCAGTTCTTTGCCTGAAACATCCTAATGAGTTCCAGAATCTACAAGTACTGGTTAGAGATCATATACAGCGACAGAGGTCACTGGCACACAGGGATCTCTAGACAGCTGGTCTTCTCCCTTTAAAAAGACTCAGTGCTCCTGTAAACTGTCACGAAGATCGTCTGGGGACAGCTCCCAGCATTCAGTAGCTGTTCAGAAGCTGTCAGCAAGTTCTGCAGCAAATGAGGTTGTAAACCAGTTGCTTCCACTGTTTCTGGTGTTCCCTGGGACTGAGTTGAGCCCAGTTTCAGGACTGTGTTTCTGAGTGGGGAGGAGCTTCAAAAACTCCTTTAATGTCCTTGCAGAAGTTGGCACCCAGAGAAGTGGAAGCAGGAGGTCACTTTAGGAGAGAGGGGGAAGGAGCCTCCAGAGTGCGGTGGTGTGCCACAGGCGTGCTGGCCAGGGCTGCCCACGTTCAGTCACAGCTATGCTAGATGCCAGGGTTCATCTCTGTGAAGGTTGTCACGTGTACTTGTGACCTGACTGATACATACAACTGAAAACCTGGCCCTTTGTGTTTCAGCTGTAAAGAATACAAAAATCTGAATTCCTTTTTCGCTATTATTATGGGACTGAGTAATGTTGCTGTGAGCCGTCTCTCGTTAACATGGGAGGTAAGTCTTAGCTAAAATCCAATTCTGAGAAGTTTAACTGAGATTTGTGCTTTTAGTTAGCAAAAACATGGCTTGGGCATTTATTATTGATAAAATTAGATCTACTAATTCAGCTCCCGAGCGTAAGCCTTTAGCTAGGGCTGACAATTTTTTTTTGGTAGGGCAGTATACCCATATTTGTGCTGAATACTCACAAGCAGTTAACAAGAGTGACAACAGCAGCTTCTATTGATGAGCTAAACTGCACAAAAGGATGAGCGAGTTAGCCAGTTAACCTCCTACATCAGCCCATCCTCTGCTTGACTTTACTGATCATTTAGTGAGATCACTCCAAAGATACTTCTCTAAAATCCATCTTCTGTTTATACATATTATTTTCTGATCTCATATGGACTCTGTTGCCCTATGAAAATGTGGGTTTGTCCTAACCAGTTCTGGTTTTCTCTCTAGCATGCATTCCCCTGCTTACTAGCAGTTTGGTCTTCGTTCCCAGAGCTTCCACCTTTTTCTGTGGCTTTGCCATTTTGTATGGAGCATATAAAAAGGGTGCAACGTCCAGCAGGGTGAGGTGGTAAACATATGTAACCACAAAAACACACTGGCTGTCAAAAGCAGTGCAGATTTGAATGTGCATGTATTTTGTTCATTAGAAATTCAAAATAGTTGGCATGACTGAGGTCACTGGTGCAACTGAGACCAACATTTGCACACCTTTAAAAAAGTGCTCTGAAACAGGAGATCAGACTAACATATCTGAGGAGACACCAGCCCAGTTTTCAAAAGTACATGTTGCAAGTGGCATAAACAATCATTGCTAAAGGCAAAGATTTGCAGATCAGTTTCTCAGAATAATGATCCTTCATTTGTGGCTACTGAGAGGAACAGTTGGGAGAGCTGAGACACTACGAGAGGAGTATGAAGAGAGAAGAGAGAGCTGAATGTCTATACTACATACAGCAATCTGAAATGGGCACAGATCGTTTGTAGGTGTGGGATATAAACCTGAGTTCAAGGAAATGTTGTCATACTCTGGTTCTGTAGGGCAATCAGTTTATCAAGAGAATTTCTGCAGCTTGATTTTTATCCAGATATATGTGCAGAATATACTTAAAAACAAACATATCAATACCTGATTTTTGCTATATTATCATGCATTTACATTAGTTGCATGCACAAATTAGATATTTGCAGGTGCAAATGTCCAATTATACCGCTTACATCACAAATACCTAATCTGCATGCATATGCAAACTAGGCACACAGTTGTTGACACACATCATTAAAAATTAGGCCCTTGCTGTGGCACAGTGTAAATATCTTGCTAGGGTACACACTCCAAATGTAGAAAGTATTGCAAAAAATAATTTCTGCACTGTAAAATCTCTATTAATTTTTAATGTTACCCGCTGCCAGTAGTAGTCTGATTAAATCAGCAAATACAGAGAAATTTCTTATTAAAACTAGAAACTTGACATATTCTGAGTGTGCATAAAGCATTACTGTGATCTCTGAAATTCATAACATATCTTACAGTCTTTATAGTAAAATTATTTAAGATGTATAATGTAACATGAGGGGGAAAAAATATTTAGTAAAGCCCATCTCATCCCAATCACTGCATAATCAACTGACCATGATTTATTTGTGTAGGTATTGCAGACTGAAAAGAAGCTATTCATTAATTTATACCCCAGAAATTGGTAGAGGCCCTTGGCTGCTGGGCATGTCAAGAATTTGAGCAATAGTTTGTGATACATCAGCATGAACAAAAAAACTTCCTGGAAATGCCCAGGCATAGATTTGAATGTTGCAAGGGCTGTTCATCATAGGTGTGAATAATTAAGCTGAGCGACCCCTATGCAAGCTGTGTGTAAATTGTATTTTCAGATAGGCTACAATCAGGAATGTCCTGAAACCATTGACTTCAGCTTTCACTTACATTCTGAATTCAGTGGTTGCAATGTGAGCCAAACAAAAATCTGAATCTAAACATCCCAAAGGAGTAAATTCAAGTTCGGGTTTAAATCAGGATCCAGGTTGCATGGCTGGTCCCGTCTCTATTTATAATCTGGTTGCTAGGAAACATGTTGTATTTTAGATTAGCACATTGTTAGAAATATCTGGCAAAAAGAGCACTTCCCTGACTTAGGGCGTTGTAGAAGGAACTAGCATTTACAGTAAAATTACCACACAAATTGGATTTAATTAAGGTTTTCTATTTTTGTTTTTATTAACAGAAACTTCCAAGCAAGTTCAAGAAGATCTATGCAGAGTTTGAAAGCTCAATGGTGAATAGCAATAGATCCCTTATTCTATGCACAATCTGAGCTAATTCAGTTTCCGAATAACTGATTTGAATTCCTTGATTCAGAACGTTTTATATGTCCTTGTTTGACTTTAAGAAGTTTATGATCCCATTTTAGAGCTGCTAAAACAAGTATGTATGACTAATAAATTATACTCTTAGGAACCTACTCTGAGAGAACTTATGTACCACTCAAAGTTAATCTGGGAACTCAGAAACGCTTTATCACAAGTTTTCCGATTGTACATATGGGAAATTATATTTTCCAACCTGGATTTCTCCAGGCAATACGTTTTAGTGTTACAGCATATGCAAAACTGGATCTGCAGCTGCAAGGAGGGAGGAAAAATGTGCAGTTCCTTTAATGAACAGTTTTTTGTAATTGTATCTTACCTTGCTATTTGGCATGAAAAATGTTTGTGTTTAACGGCTGCATTCTCATCATGTAAACTGTATGGGAGAATGATAAAAGGCTTTTAAAGCCACAGGAAAAAATAATTATTTTAATAAATGCCATGACATCTAAATGAATGCATACAGTGTCTCAATACTTATAATAATACATATTAGTAATTATTTGATATCTCGTTTTTTCTTAAGGATCCATCAAGAAACCATAGGGCCTACAGACTAACTGTAGCTAAATTGGACCCTCCGATAATTCCTTTCATGCCACTACTTATAAAAGGTAAGCTTGGATGTTACCAGAATTATTAACTTGAAAGCTATTTGTCAAATATTTGAAGAATAAGAGTAGCAGCAAGAAAAAGCAAAAATCAATCTCAGTGTGAGGTATGATCTTTCTCCTTTATAAAAAGCATGACACAGAGACAAGAAAAACTGCTTTAGTACCTCTGAATATCATACCTCAATTTTACTAGTCTCAGAAATGCTGCAAACTAAAGACTATATGTTTTACAGCTGCTTTGATTTTTGTAAGGCATAGGTAAATTTTTCTGCTGTTTTGTATAGCCATGATTCAGTAATGTGCTTTTATGTGGCTTTTATTTCTATACAGACATGACGTTTACTCATGAGGGAAACAAGACATTCACTGACAATCTAGTAAACTTCGAAAAAATGGTATGTATGACATGTTTGAAACGAAATTTAATGAGACTTCCCTATTCATGTCTTCAGGAGGGAACTTCTCAACAATAACTTCCAGGGCCAAAGTGTAGGCAGAACCACGAGCTGGCAAAAATAGTCTGCGGTGTGCACAGCACCTGGGACCTCTGGGTTTCTGGAAAACCTCACAGAGGTGGAGAAGAAACTGCCCGCTGAGCCATGCACAGCCAAAATGTTTCCTAGGAGAGGCGGCAGCAGTGACAGGAAGCAGAGCTGTTAGAGACAAGTTTTAACAGCCAGTGTGGGACCAAGCTGTGATTTGAACTGCTATTCCTTCAAACAGGACTGAACTGCCTCAGGCTGGGATAGTTCTGCATTGCTCCTCCGAGAACGAAAGGAGCTTTCATATAGAACATGCACAACATATTATTTTCTTCTTTCCTTTAGCAAGTGAAAGGAGACTTCTGTTACTTGATTACTTTCATATTGGAAAGGGGGATCAATGATAGGAGGCTAAATTATGCTCAAATTTTATTAAATCCTGCACCTAAGCTCTCATAATTTCAAAAACTGCAGGCAGGCAACTTCTCATGGCAGAAATATCAACTGAAACTCACGTTTTGCAGCAGTGAGAAGCCATTTTCTTGGCTGCAGAGGCGAATTAATGTGGCTAATGACACCTGCATCTGAGAACCAGGGTTAGCCAAGCCCAGCTACAAGGAGCTGCACTGCAAAACCAAACCTGACTTGCTGTTCTGGCAGTACAGCTGCATACAGCAGTCATGCTAGAGCATACCTACTCTGTCACCTATATCCTCTTGTTCTCAGTACTACAGTAAACAGGACCACTCTGTGGTTATTTCCAGTGCACGATGGAGGAGCTTCTCTTACCTTTTGAGCACTGATACTGCGGAGGGGAAAAAGAGCAACTTTCAGCTCTTTAGAAAACTTTGCAGAAAAGGGATCATCTTTCTGAATGATTTTTTCTCTTAGATTTTAGTCTGTAGCTCCAGGACAGTCTCTGTCCTAGGGTGAAAATACCTCTTTACTAAGCTGAGATTTTTTTGTGGGTAAATGGTAGTGCTAATGCCTGAGTCAGGGCCTGACCTCACTTTGCAATAATGACATTCTGCAATTGCATACACAGACTGTGTTGCCATCTCCTTCCAAAGGCCTTGAACCTTCTACCTGCAGAGAAGGACATTTTCCTGGGCCGCTTGTTCTAATTAGATAGATAAATATCTATATTTTAGGACAGATAGTAAATATTTGGTGGAACACAAAGGGATCTCAGACTTGGCTGGAGCACCTCCAAACCAGGACGGATGGCAGCTGCATTGCTATAGCCATGGCTATGTGGCTGGCTCTGTGTTCTCCACCTCACTTGGCCTACTTACACCTCCTGAGCCAGAAGAGCGGGTATATCCGCAGGCCTCAGAGCTGTATGTCTCAGGCTCTTCTTTATTCCTGATTATGTGTAAAAGTCATTACAGGAGGCAGGAGCTCTCCTGCGACCACTTGCCCATAGACAGAAGTTCAGTCCAGGCTTGTCATTTAGAAAATGGTTCTGCACCACTCTGTACCACAGTCTGGCATTCCCAAGGCCACGAGTGAATTTTACAGCAGCTTAAACTGATCCGCATCTAGGCTGCTGCAGGTCTGCCCTTTTCATCCCAGTCTGCACATTGCCTTATCTTCAATGTAAGTATGTTATCTCCAGAACATGGATTTACTAATAGCACCCAAAAGTTTTAAATAAAATTTTATGCTGCGTGAATGTAGTATCACCCATTTTGATCAGTAATCTGAGTTTTGAGCATTTCTTTTAGGAGGGGAAAATGAAGGCCAATTAATGTATTTTTGATGCTATATATTTTTCAGAAAATCAATATAATGTCTCACGTTTCTCCACACAACAGAAAGGGAAGCGTTCTCCTTTCTCAGTATTCTAAACCTTTCTTCAGTTAGTGCTCTACCTAAAAGCTCACTCTGCTTTTTCTCCAGGCCTTACTACAAGTGTATCTTTTGTGGTTTTAATGCTCTGCACTAGCTATTCTGCATGCTTCTATGGTGCTTTTACTGTTTTGCTCAAACCATGGTTCCTCAAAGCAACATGTATTCAGATTCCACCCACGTAATTCATTCAAATCCTAATGTGGACCTGGCATTTTTTAGCTTTTTGCATATGTCATCAGGTCAAGCAAAGAAGAAAAGCCTACTGTTAAACCTCAGTCGCTACCGCCTACTTATGTTAAGCTTACAACTGTCACATCCACACATAATTGCCAGATATTAACTAGTGAAGACAAGACCACTCAGCCAGATAACTCTCAGACAAATTCAGCTCTCTTTTACATAAGTATAAACTGAAGGTAAATCCGTGATGTTATTCTGCCATTTTCAGGAGAAAAGCAGAAGGCAGATTTCCTTGCAGGAATCCTGTCCTGCCGTTTGTTGTTTCTGCCTGTTTGTTCTGCTGCGTGATGTTGTGTCACAAGCAGATGGAGATATCTCTGAACATTGCTGGGAGCCACTCTTACTGATCTGTCTAAAACATCTTCGTTCTTTGCAAAATGATTTCCCTCGATCCATCCTAACTTTGATGCTTGCTGAAGTTTATGAATAAAAATATCTGGGTCGTTGCCACTGGTGGTGCCATTTGCCACCGGAGAAGGTGGATCCTTCCGACTCTCACGTACGCACAGTGATGAAACTGAGAACAGCCTCTGGCATCGTGTCTGCATTCTCACCACAGAGCTCTGATCCCAACAGCTGATGTGCTGCTGACAACTTTATTCCTGTAACTGGCAGCCAAAAGTAGAAGTTTGATCTAGTGGCATCTCTTCAGCTGAAACAGCTTCCTCTAAATCTTTTATGTTTTCTGATGCTACTGTTATTATTTATATTAAATGGTGCATCTTAACACATGCAGGAGCTGTCAGACGGTGTCTGAGCCAGGAGTTTCCCAAGTGCCAGAAACAGTGCGGCCTGGTTTCCTAAACATTTGTGTTTCATGGCTGCCTGCGCTCCGCCCAGAGCTCTCCTCGTGGCTGGGGCATGTGTGGTTTCTTCATGGCTGAGGAATTCTGTGTAAATAGGCTTTTGTCATAACATAGGAACTTGCACTACAGCTTTTTCCCTGAAGGAGAGAGGAGAAGAGGGTGCTTACAAGATCTTTCTCTTGTCCACAGCCATCTATTTTCACAGAAAATTAGTAGGAGCTTTCTTACGTTTGAAAACTCTGGGTTCTTTTTTCAAATTTGACAAAATTGTTTAAAGAACAAGGCAAAACCGGATGTTTTTTAGCAAGTCAAGCTAAAAAGAAAAGGGACTGAGAAATGTTTTTCCTACCACACTTTCCTATAAATCGGTCTTTTCAGAGGTGTAGTGACTGAACTGTGGTATTGGCAGTAGTAGGGGGACATCACTCGGCAGAGGATTACGGAGATTTACCTGCTGCTGCCTTTGTGACTGCCTGCTCCTTCTTCCCCTTCTGCATCTCCCGATCCCCATGGATGCCTCTCATCTGGAGAAGGCTGTGAGGAGTGGGAGGGCAGGGACAGCTAGCCAGGGAAGAGAATGTCATGTGTGGCAGAGTCACAGCTATGCGTAAAGAGGGAAGTTTGTAAGCGGGTCCATTTGGTTTGTACAAGATGTGGGCAAGCGATGTTAAATGTGTCAGAAATAGGTACACTCTTTGTATTTGCACTGTACCAGTGCTCTTTACTATGCTCTTTATTGCATGAAGCAAGGTGGGGGGATGGAGGAAACAAGGATTTGGCCTTAAAATCCAGCCTGGAACATTTTCATACTTTTGGCGGTAAGTAGACAGAATAATTAAGTTACTGGTATTAGTGGTATAACTCTGTAGTAAAAGGCTTTGTCTTCAATACCAAACAAGACATGATTTTAGTGAAGTATTGAAGGTCTTTGACTTATCTCACTGTAAGAAGCTGATGGAGACAACGTACAAGCTGTTTCCGCTATGGTGTTGCTCAGATGTACCTTCTAGGTTGGCATATACTCCATGACCTTGTGTGGAAAAAAGTACCTGCATCTTTTCTCCACTAGTGAGTTGACAGTAGATGTTAGTTGTGTTTCTTTAGAAGACCCATCTATGTAAAGACTGAAGACATACTTGTCATGGAGGAACAAGGAATGAATCAGCTTGTAAAGTTTTTTAAATACTGTAGTTGTGGTTTGGCAGGTTGAGGCCATTTTGAGAGCTGCAAGCAAGCGAAAGATAAAAAGATGGCAGTAGACCACAAACACAATTAGTTTGTGATCTAGAATACACATTTATCTTTTAGGTCCAATAATGACCCTCTTTTCAGGTGAAGGAGAGCTCCCAAAGCTGTCAGTAGTATCAGTTCCTATAAACTCTGCATGATTTAGCAGATACAGGACAACCTACAACCTGCAGCACAGTACATGGCAATATATAACATTCAAGTGACACTGCTTTTATAGCTATATATTTATAAAAAATTTAAAAGCCCTTGCGTAGAGTTATGTTTTGCCAGGGGAAGAAGAGAGAGGAAAGTGAGGAAAGTACTGAACATGACTCTCCTAAAGGACAGGCAGTATTTCATATTCTTGACCACTTAGTGATTTCCGCTTTTTTCAAACCTCAGCTCCATAATCCTGCATTCTGACTGCCAGTACTGGGTTTTGTATTCGTAGACAGAGGGAAGATGCAATTATCTGGGAGCTTTATCAGTGCCATTTCTCAAATCATCAGGCAGCCTGAACAAAGATCGCTTTCCGTGGCACCATCTCCGTGTCGCGCTACCCAGCATGTCTCAGAAACGGCACCTGTAGAGGGAGCAGAAATCACGAAAAAGCTCTGAAAGTCCTGACCTGCCATGGCAGCACCAAACAGTGCCATGATGCTGGCCACTGATGCTTCTCTTTGTCAAGCCTCTTCACCCTTCAGGTGTGAAATGACGATTAGAGAGTCTGTGCAGATTGGTTTTCGGGTTTTGTGGAGATGAACAAAAGGGAATTCACACTCTGATCCTTATGCAAAAAAGGGCAAACATTCTTTCATTTTTGGAACATAAAGATTATGCAAAAAGTGTGTGACTAAAGACCTTAGTAGTTTTCTATGGCATATATGAATATTTATAACATTTAGAAACCTGGGTTTGGAATGGATTAGAAGATAATGTGCTGGCCTGCTGCCACTATTCCAGACTGTGTAAGACTTGAAAGGGTATTGTTGTGTTTATATAGCATGCTGGTATTAGCACTTGCTTGTTAGATTATGCAGTTGGTTCTGTTTCAGAAAGATCCAAATTTAGGTTTGTATGGCTTTTCAGTAATGGTCTTTCTTAGCACAGTGAGAAAACAGAGGTTAATTTTTGCAGATATTAACTAGAGGTAATCCTGTATTTGAAGAAAAATTGTAAGGAGCAGCAATTAAACTTCCATCTGAACATTTTCTCTGTACATGTTTCTAGTTTTCTTGAATCAAAAGAAGACAATCCAACTTATATACAAGATTCAGGAAGGGAAATTCATTTTCGCTTCATATGCTGTTTTTCTGTTCAATGTGCACCTTCCAAAGAGGAGCTCTTTTGAGTTTATATTAGACAGTACAACAGCACTTGGAAAAAAGCAATGTGAAAGGAGCTCTTCGAGGATACATAATGCGCCAGAATCTCCCCACTGGGCTGCGATGCTGTCTTCTGGCCACGGTTTCTCCATTTATTCTGTTTTAACACCCACTTCCTCATTCCTTTGTGTTTCATCATTGCCAGGATACTTCTGAAGACACAGGTTGAAGGAGATTATCCTCAGGAATAGGCAAAGTAACTCCTTAAAAGGAAGCCTTTCCACCAACTGAAGGAAGCCGGGCAGTTCAGCCTGTAACCAGAAGTGGACAAGTTCATTGCCACTTTGTTTTTCCTTGCCTGGAAGAGTCCATGTAATGAGAAATTTGGAAAAGCGAAAACTTTTTCAAAACCTTCACTACACATGCGATTTGTCTTTCAGTACAGTACAGCATTACAGTACTTATACTGAATGCTATGCTTTCTTTTCTGAACAAATTCCCTACATAAGTAAAAAAGAGTAAAATGATTCCACAGAACACACTTTTTTTGATAAATCTATGTTTTCACCACAAAAGCTTAATACTAAACTAATGAAACATTGAGCCTACAGTCTAGCTCCAAAGATTATTATGAAATGAGGCTTCAAAACCTAAGCATTTACAGGTATGAAAAATTAGGGTGTGTATTAACAATCCATCTACAGCTGGCTGTCTCCATAAAAATGAAGTGTCCTTAGCAAAGCTTCCATTGAAATTAGATGCTCTTCAAACTTCATCAGGTCAGCTGGTCCAGTTCAACTTTATGTTCTCTCCTTGAAATAGTTATTTTAGGGGAGTACTTTTTGAAATGGTATAAATTAAAATAGCAGCATCACATAACAGAAGCAAATATGAATCCATAGAGTTATTAAGCTTTCATGTTTACGTGTTCATGTTGCTTTGATTTTCATTTGATTGGGTTAGACTTGAAGAACCAACACTGTAATATGCAGTGCGTTCTGTCTCAATCCGGTACTATAATGGGTGCTTATTTTTGAGTATTTAAGAGGTTCCATTTAATTCAGTGGGGCTTATTCACATGCTTAATGCTAAGCACATAGGAGAATGTTTGCAAGGTAAGTGCCTTAGAAAGTCTGCCTCGTAACAGCTTGAAGAAGCATGAAAATTAACACAGGATCAAAATTACTCGTACTTGAAATCCACTTAGTTTCCACATGTAAATACATATGACTTTAGGAACAATATAAGCAAACCCATATCCAAATTCCCCAGATCTTTTTGGAACTTGTGTTTTAGAAGTAAAATATTTTAGATCAGTTTCAGAATAGCTACATTTCATTTTATTATTCAATGTGTAATCCACAAAAATGTAGTAGATGATATATCAGTAGTGTTTCTAATGCTGACCACGAGCCATACCCATTTTTCTATGCTTGACAGTGCATTAAAATGTCTAAGATTATTTGGTATGTGTGTAAGGAATGTTTTACATTGGTGCTTCCCACTTCTGTAATGACAGATTTTACAAAGGTACTTTATTTATAACATCAATTTCATGCAAGATTATCATTGTGTGTGAGTTTGAGGAGCGTATGCCCTAGGTTATACTGTTTACTAGTAAGAAATGTGTCCTTCCATTGTGCGAGGCCTTGTGACTAGCTTGTTAATCGCACAAAAATTTCAAGAAGGTACGAAGCAGCCTGGTGAGAGTGCGCTGTGTTAAAAGATGTAGCTGTGTTGTAATAGTTGGACCATGTTAAAGTGCTGGAACAAATGTTAGACTCTGATTAGAACAGCATTTCCCTCCTCTGCTTTTAATCTAAGCAAAAAAAGACTGAAACAAATGTTGTCCGTGTAACAGTGATTGAATCAAACTACCTAGCTAAGGAGTCCAGTTTTACTGCTGAAGCTTCAGTTCATTTGATACTATGCAGAACAACTAATTTTGCCCCCGCCCTGGTAGGTGTATTACCTGTGTGGTGCTAATCACACAAGCCAGTTAAAATTTTGCAGTCCAGGACAGAGTCTGAAATGTTTTGCTTTATGACTTACCTTCATTTATATTCTTAAAAGCTATTGTAAAATAGCATCTGATTAAGCAGAGCAAAATGTATTGATGAATATTTTCTTACCCGAGTAAGTGAAATGATGGCTTATTTACCGGAGAGCAAGCACAGCCAAGATGGATGGAAGTGACTTCTGGTTTTTTTATGAATTGCCAGTAGAAGTGTCCACCAAAAGCAAATCCACTTTTCATGCTGAGTTAGATGCACTTGTGCGAGCTAACACAAACAGGTCGGTTTGATGAAACTTGCTTACAGCACATAGTTCTAACGGTGGCCTTCTCACCTGTGGGTCGAGCATCCCTCCTTTCCAGAGGGAATCGGTGAACACACATCCTTACGTGCTCATTTTACACGCTCATTTTCCAGGAGGTCTGCATTTTAAACTCAAATTCATATTCAAGGTGAAGGCTCTTTAATTGCTGAGTACATTCTAGAAATGGCCTTGCTGTTAGGAACCGATGGTCTTAAAATTAACATGTGTACATACTCCAAGGTGTTCTACATGATGTGTCTTTTACTTTTTAATGTGGGAAGATGCTATCAAAGCAACGCGCATCGAAGGGGCTGATTTTCATTCTTAGTTAAGGCCTTTTACGGCATCCAAGCAAGGGAAAGGGTTCTCTGAGCGCATGTAAATTGCACTCATGCTCATTTAAAGCCTGTGTAAATGCAAATCACACCCTACATATGAGGGTATCAGCATTAAAATTATATTTTCATTCATATGACTGCTTTTATTGGCATATGTCTTCACACTCAGGCACAGTTAGGTGCTTCGTTTAAATGATGATGAAATACAGTGCTTGTTCTCTGATTGCATCCCATCTTTTCTTTCCAGCGCATGATTGCCAACACTGTCAGGACGGTGAAATTCTGCCGCAGCCAATCTTTCAGTAAGTGTATTACAACATCTGCACAGTCAGCATTATCATCAGTAGCAACAGTAATTATGACTAATTCTGTGTGTACCAGAATTGAAAAGCCTGGTTTCCAATGATTCTTCCATGTTTGGATCCTCCACTGTTTCATAGGGTGAAGTATCCTTCAGGAAGCTCTAATAAGCCCCTTCTCCTCCATCTCTTTTCCAAGCCCATGAAGGAGCTAAATATCTGTGAGGTCTCTACACATCCGTCAGATTAGAATTGGTAGAAATTAGCCACGGGGTTCAGAAGTGGTTGAAATCAGGCTAGCAGACAGCAGCACACAGCTACATGCAGAATACTTGCTTGGGTAAACCCTGTTTTTATAGGATACCTGTCTGGAAACATGACGTTTATAAATTAAATAACTGCATAAGGTGATGAACTTAAAACCTGTTTGTCAGTAAAATTACCTGAACCTGCTTAAGGCCATGTAAGATGACAGAGCTGTACGGTCAAACAGGCTTGCTTGGTGGGGCTCACCCTGTCTGGGTGCGCTGTCAGTCCCAGTCACACCGGCATTTCCTCAGCACTTCATTCATTTTGCCTCACAGCAGCCTTCCTCTTTCTCAAAGAACAGAATAAGTAATATAAAACAATATCTTTTTATAACAACAGTTTATTTCCATCTGGGTCAAAGCTTAACTCTAGAAGATCAAGTTAAGGGAGCTTTTTTTTTCTCCCACCACCAAGGTTTTTCTGGCTATGTTTCTTTTAATTTGAATGTATTAAGCACTGTTGAGACCTCCACACGTTTAGAAATGGGCGTGGATTTTCACTATACATGGTATAACGAAAGGCCGGCATATGGATGTACCGTATCTAGGTCTCGTGCTTTTTGTGTGTGTGTACGTGTATTTATATATAGTAGATGCTTCAGTATCTTTCTTTTAAAGAAGTTTAAGTTACCGAACACATATTTCATTAGATTGTAAGCTGTTCACTGTGAGGCTGGAGATACTCAGATTTTAACTTGGTGGTATTTCATAATTGTTGTCGGAGTAGGTATAATACAGTTAAGTAATGTAAACAGGGAGTAAATTTTGAGGCTTGGATAGGGCAGCTGCTAAACACTACAGTGTTACAAACATTTAATACTGAGCTAGAAATGGCAATATTTCATGAAAGGAGGCTTAGATCAGTTATATAGTTTTGAATCTGTGTGAAAGCTGCTGGTTCAAACGCAGATGGGCAGCTTTAAATCATACTAGTTAGCTACAGAATTTATAGCTATTGACTGGTAAGGTGATGTATAAAACTGTAACCAAGGGCCATCAATTTGAGTAAATGTAGCCAAAGATACCTGAGAGAAAAAGTTAATTTGTGGGGGAAGTAACCGGAAAGACTATCAGATGTGGAGGGAAGGTATCAAAGAGAGCAATTTCTAAATATTTTCTTTTTAACTCAGCAGGATCTGGTGTTTCCTGTGGCAGCTTCTGAAGCATTATGCATTCTGTCCAGGCATTTGTTCGTTTAAGTGTATCAATCCTACATCATTTCTCTTTCACCAGATCCCGATGCAGCCCTAACTAATAAGAACCATCAGGATGTTCGGAGCTATGTGCGGCAATTAAATGTGATTGACAACCAGAGAACTTTATCACAGATGTCTCACCGACTAGAACCGCGTCGAGCATAAACATTTGAAGCGATGATGAGAAATGATCTTTTATCCTGTCAAGGTCACTTGTTAAGAACTTCACTTTCTCTGCTACCGCACTGCCACTACAAAAAATAAGCAAAAACATATTCTAAGGTCTTAGGCAACGCACAATGTACCAGCCTGTCGGAGAACTTTGGCTGAGGAAGAATTTATGCACTGTAGCTGTACGGGTGGCCATGTTGTGAACTGTTAATTCATCTTAAAGCTTAGTAAATGATTTCTCATATGGATAAAGAAGGCAAAAGATAAAATAGAATAGCTAGTGAAAAATGCTCAAAAAGCTTCTAACAATTTTAAGAGAGGTAGTGTTTTTCTCCCTAATTAAAGATCTGTATTTTATGATTTATTCTCCAGGTTAGGACCAAAACTGATCATCAGTTCAGCTTGCCCAGCTACTCTTGACCTCAGTAGAACACGTATGTAAGCATCTGATAGAGGAATGTGGGTTACAGAGAGGTCCCAGGTATGGTTCCATTCAGAGAAGACTTACAAGTATTTCCATTTGAAATACAACAGCTAAGAAGAATTCCTGATCTTAATCGTACTGCCTACTCCTGCAAGCGGTGTGGCCTTTTCAGAAAACTGACAGGGCTGAAAATGTTTTGAATTATAAATAGATTAAGCTGTGTTTACATTTTACTTCTTTTTTTAAACTACCAATCAGGTTTTTACAAAATTCCATGACAATAGTGAGGTTGTCGAAATCAATAGCATAAAGGTAGCAAAGGACTGGTTCAAAAAGAGCACAATATGCACAAACAGATTTCAAGAGAATAATTTCTTGGACATTAAAACCTTAAACTTCACCTATAATTAATTGTGGCTGGTTAACACACATTTTCACATTTTCTGGTCTTAAGCATTTACAAATATCTTAATTTTCAGCCAATTGTTTTGCACTTTCAATAGACTGTAAATAAATGTTAATTCATTATGTTCTAGAATATTTATTTATGTAATAGCTATTGTGCCAAAATAATTCAGTTTTATTTATTTTGTTTAGCATGTTATGGGAGTGCAGCTTTTGTCTTTATACTTTGTGTGCATTTTATGTGTAGGAATTGTGTGATGTATGTTTTCTGTAAATAACACGCAGTACCTTATTAAATGTAATTGCCAGAAGGGTTTAGTTGCTGGCCTTATTTGCACTTTCAGCTTCATTCCTGCATAAATACCGATGCTATTAATTGGCTGATACAGCAAACTTCGCCTGTCATTTGCTGGGCCTCGACACCGCAGTTAGCCTGCGTCCACGGCGATATGGATGACCAGTCCAAAGCCAGGCAGCTCTGTCCCTGCCGCAGGGGATGACAGCCTTGCAGTCATGGAACACTATGGTTTTATTAGCTGGTTTGCTCAGAGTTTCTAAGAGGCTCCCTATCCTCCCATGTAAAGAGAGGAAACATTTAAAGTGGAAAGGTTTAAATGAAGAAGGGACGTATTCTTAATTTTGGCTATCTGACTAATTGGTCCTGCTCGGTCACTAATGTGAGCGCTACCAGTTACCTTGTCTTGGCCAGGATTTTACCTCAGGTTGGCTAACTCAGCTCGAGACCTTGGCTCATGGCACTCGAGAGACCGCTGGCCTCGGTCACCTCTGGGCGGTCTGTCAAGTCCTGCAGCCCAGAGGGAAGAGGGGATCCGGCTCGTACCCTTTCCCCTCCGAGACCATCCGTGCTAGCCGAAACCCTCCACGGGATTGCCGTACCGCAGCGGGGCAAGCGCTGATGGTGGCCACGTGTGTGCCAGGGGAACAACGGCAGTCAGCTGGCACAAGGCTCACCTAGTGCATTCACACCGGCTCTGCTCTGCGAAGCTGGATGTTGTGACACTGAGTAAGCCTGAAATTAGAAGTGGCAACTAGTATCACTAAGCTTCAGAGCTGACCTCATTGATACAGCCTACATTTCACTACTGACGCAGAGTATACTTTTCATGGCATTGCCCAGGACTGTGTGAAGTCAGTATACACATAAAGATTTCACTTTTTTAATCTACAAAAATAACTGCATCCTTTTAGTTAAAACATAAATTCTGTAAAAGCTGAGAGGGTCACCAGGGAAATGCTGACACACAGAACTACTATCTGCTCAGTACCTGCACTCTGCAAAGGAAAGAATTACACAGTTAAGAAATATTCTGCAGCATGATGAAATAATTTATTTTAACTTTGCTGTCTGACTAGAAGTTCAAGATGATTCAGAGGAAAACCAGCTAATAACAGAGACAAATTTGTGTCTTATTATTTCAAGTAAGAAATATTTCCATTTGTACTGCTCTATGAATATACTTCTTATGGCTTATTCAGATACAGAATCTTCCCAGAAGCAAAGAATGCAGTAGAATAAACTGCAGGGACACAATTAACTCAAAAGACGTTTTTATCTTTATAATCAATTTAAAACATATGCGAGTTCACAATTTTATTTGTTCCAGATTTGTTCCTATCGTTTGGACTTTCATTTATTTCTGTGTTAACTGGTTTATAAAGCTGCCAGGTTTCAGCTTGGCTCTGCACATAGAGCGATTCTTCATCTGTTTAGCATGACTTTCTCCCCTTGGTTTGTTCTTCTGTTCCTTAGAACTTCTAACTGTTTTACTTGCTTGTTTCCAGACACTCTCTATCATGTAGATACGTCCCAGTGACACAAACAGAGGTTTTATGGCACCTCCATATCAACAGATGAATGCAGTTTACCTACTCAATGAAACCGGTATCTGGCATTTTTTAATTTTCCAATAAAGGGCGCTGTACAAATAACGAGTGTTGCTATCTCTGTATCTAATTCATCCAAGTGGCTCCGATAGTTGCTATGGTGCTGATCACAGTCAACATACCTAGAGATTAAATGAATAAAAGTACCTTCTGGCTGTGGGATCCATACTGGCCTGCTCTCGCTCCCCGTCTTGGCTTTACAACAGGAGGGCAGCTGTCGATGTGTTGCTCCCGCTGTGTGAACGCTAAGCGACTGTTGCAATAGCGTGAAGAATGCATAGGAAATGTTGAAATGTCAAAACGCCCATGCTGTCTTCGCCCTGTGCTTGCAGCTGCGAGTCACAACTCGGATCCTGCCTCGGTGAAGAGCTGCCCCTTATCTGCTGCTCTGGGGCCGCTCTGCAAGCCCGGGCTCAGGTGCCGTGCCAACACAGCCAAGCCAGAGAGGGTCGGGGCGTCCCCAGGCCCGCTCCGCTCCTGGTCCGTACTGCTTTTCATTGCAGTGCTTGTCCACATTTTGGCCCGTGCCAACCAGCACCGTATGAGAGCGTCCAGCCACTGTTTGTGGGTGAGCATGCACCAGGGACCATCTCCAGCGGGCAAGCCAGTCCATCCCATCACCACCACCGGGATGGTGATGCCTTGGGCGCTTTGGAAAATGTTCTGCATTACAGGGTTCCACTGTCAACATGGTTTTTTTGCTCAAGCAGCAGCCCAGAGCACAAACACCTCTGTTTGGGGCTGCAGAGCCCAAAGAGTCACAGGGTCCAGCTCTCCTCTGCCCCAGCGCATCTCCCTGTTGTCGATTTGTTAGGATTTGCTGGATTTCTCAATGGCCGGCCCGGGGCTGCCCATTGCTGGACAGAGCTGGGAACAAAGGTTAAATCCAGGGAGGCTGAATCCAACACTCCAGGAGACCACTGGATCCAAAATATTTTCCCCAGACAACTTGTTCAAACCCAATCAGCCACAACAATGTGACAGTGCCAGATAAAAGAGTGCAAATGTATTTGCAGGACTCTGCAGATGAGGGTTTGGGTTTTTTCCTACTGAGGAAAACGCTGTGAAGGCACACAGCCTCCGCAGACCAGGTACAAAGAGAGAGACGGACAAAAAAAGTCCCTCTTTTCAAAGAGACACTGGCAAAACAACCTTTTAAGCACAAGAAGTTTAAACACAATTTAGAAATCTTACAAAATAAGTTAGAGAGAAATCAAAAGGTTTAACCTGCAGGGGTACCGAAAGAGATAATGACTTTTGCTTTAAAAAAAAAAATAAAAGAAACAGTTTAACAAAATGACAAAATGTAACGGCAGAAAATTATAAGTCTAAATTGTTAACATAGCTTCTTAGTAAGGTCAACTGCATAATATAGAGTACCTTAACCTCTTCCAGCAATTTTTAAACACCACGCAGCTTAAATAGACTACGTCTGAATTCAGCGATATTTCTTCTGGGAGCTCGAATGCAAATCAAGAGGTAATAGTGGAAGAAAATTAAAAGATGTGCTATTCTCATTTCATTTTTTGTACTGATAATAAGGAAAGCAGCACAGAGAGTGATACGGCAAAGTGAACCTCTAACTTCAATAGCTTTTCTTTCACTGTTAATCTGAAATGCATTACACCCTGCCTTTTCAAATAATCATAATGTTCTTTACCGTAGCTGGCATTAAAGTTTAGCAGGCATAAGCAGCAGCTGTCACCAGAGGTCAAGGTATTAGCAATCAAAGAAAATAATGACCAGATTAAAAAGTTATCATTAAAATGACTAAACCAGAAACTTCTGTAGCAGCCTGTCTTCACAGGGAGCAGGAACGGGCACTGCCGCCCCAAACCAACTCCCACCAGGGAGGGAGGGAGCTCCCCGACGTGGCTGGTGGCTAAGGCCTGATCTCTAGCTTCTCACCGTGGCGGAAGGCTGGGCTCAGTGCGCTACCGGAGCACCCGGGCTACGTCCTCCACGCATCTGCCCACATGCCGTCCAGTAACACGTAAGACTGGCTCTTCATCTGCCCCGTGCACTGCTGGAGCAATAAAATACAGCCCTCACGCAGCACCTAACTAAGCAGATAACTTGTAAATTCATAAAATAACATAATCCAACCACAGTCCTGGTGTTTTATGACTGAGGTGATGGGGGGACTATTGTAAAAATGAAGATTCTTATCATTAAAAGGGCAAAAACGAGAGCACGTGCAGCTACAAAAGCTACCATTTACATCCAAGCGCTAAAAGATATTTCACAAAGGGTTCCATTTTAACAGGTTTGGCACTGAAATGTAATTTCTGAATTCAAAATAAAGTCAGAAAACTACATGAGGATGCATAAAGAATGCATAATTACTGACACAAATTGGAATATTTTTCTTGGAAACTTCATGTAATAAAAATGTGACACACAGAGGTACTGGTAAGAGACTGACCTTTATTTCCTGGCCCTAATCCATTTGGGTCAGAGTGACAAAAAGCAAAGCCTTTGTCACATGGCAGGGGTCAGCCAGACGTGCTTAATTTTTTTTCCTCTTTTTTCTTTCAAATGCAAATAAAGCACATTACCAATGAAAATAATGATTGTAAATGAATACCTCAATTAAAGGAAATTTACATAAAGATACTCAGGACAGAGGTGACAGTGGATACTCCAACATCCTAACAGACAATAATCCATTTCTTAATCAA